ACCGACATTTTCCTGCGAGGCAGGTTTGGTTGCAAACTGCTCCTGAAGCCGAACATCATATCCGCTTGACACGAAACAGCCTGGTACCTGCACCACAGGCGCTGTCGCCAGAATCGCTAGATCACAAAGATTATTGAAAACTTGTTTGCAGAGGTACTTTGACCTTCTGACCACGAATATCCATCTATATGGCGTGCTAACTATAGGAATGAATGAAAGGGAGTATGGGCAACAACACAGACCGATGCACGCATAGCGATCTCTTCCTGTACCAAGGCTGAACCATTAGCAAGGAGAGGGTTCTCCATTGCCGGCAACGAAGAGTACATTGTTGTCTGACCCTTGTTTGTCTGTGCACCAGCATGAGGTGTCTAAGCGCATCAGTCAGTGCTGCTGCGCGTTCTCTATTTATCTCATTTTCAAACAATTAACACCCCATGTGGATGTGATATTTGTGGTCAGAAGGTCAAACTACCTCTGACAAGATTCTAGCAAACTTTGTGATTTATAGTGTCCCAAGGCGCCTGTGGCGTGGGTGCCAGGCTGTTACAGAACGAGCGAATGTGATCTTCATGCGAAGGAGGCCAATTTACTCCCGGGTACAGGTTTTCAGCCGAATGTACCTATGAAGGGAGAATTTGGTAAAAAAAACTGGCTCGACGTCAGAAGGTTATGTAGAAAAGGGTAAATGCGAAATCACCTCTTGACCGCAGTACCCGTGGCTGTTGTGACGAGTACGTATGCCATAACTATTGCAAACTGTGAAGGATGGCGATAGGATGCTACCAGACTAGCTGACCATTAGTAGCTTGATTATATTGTGCCTCGAGGCGCGTCATATGTACGAAGGCAGCATGTTGTCAATATAAGTTCGGCTTCGGTGTATGGGGTGTCTTTACAGTGGTCCGTGGCTCCACCACTTGTGAAACACAAAAGGCTGTCTGAAGGACAATGATTTCCAGATGGCAACATGGGCTCGCCACCTTCATGACGTTTTTTATCTCTATGGCTTGTCACTCAATGAATCTCTCATGCTGGATCCCATTGGAGGGCATTCCAATGCTACATCTCTTGGCCAGTCAATGAAGCGAAGTTTTGTAGGTGAGTACTCTGACTGTGTCTCAAGTGATCTGGAACCAGGGTACAGCATGGGGATGTGCGAAATGGCGGTGTGAGTACGACCCCCCCCCTCCTGCTCTAACTGACAACCAGATGCATGTTCACCACAAATGGCTTCCTGAAATGGAATCTGGATTTTCGAAAGGCGGACTCTGCTCTTAAATCCAGGCAATAAGAGGCTGTTTCAGCCTCATGCAATATGAGGCTGAACAACAGCCTCGCATTACCTACAATTTTGTCTTAGGATTCAAAATAAAACTCCTCGTTCGATAACCATGTGACATGCAACTTGTAAGAAGGAACACAATCGAAACAGCGACTAATGGTGATCATTGATAAGCTAAATTGGTGAAAAAAATAGCCCAAGGTCAGCGTGTCAGGCCCCAGATGTGCATTCAATGAATGGTGACGGGGAAATCATGAAAACATGCACGACACAACAAAGCGAAAACATGTGTGAAGGGGATTGAAAAATGCAAAAAAATGCGAGGCCAACTAAAAAAATGGATAACCAGGCGGCAGTGGATCGTTCTATCTTGGCTTATCGCTCGCAAGGCTGCGACCGTTTTCGCTGTATAAACGTCATTGGAGCACAAGAGCACAATAACTCGAAATTCAGCGTCCTGGGGTTTTTTCAGGAGCTTATATCTCTTTTAGGTGCGGAGCTTTTGAGGAATGGTGAGCAGCATGCAACGGCAAAGTTTCTACTGTTGTGTATTCTACCTAGCTTGCAAACTGAACAATCCCCCGTTGGTGAAATATTCCGGATGGGTTTTGGATAGGCTAGGGGTAAATCGCCGGAGCATCGTTCCATGCAGTCACGCCGAAAGATTGCTTCGTTTAAACGCAATTTATCAGATCAAATCGTTATCTGAAAAACTCCCTCCATCTTTTTCTTTCCAATAAGCTTCACAGTTTTTCTGAAGACCCACTAGTTCAGGAGATATTTTAGATGGGTCACAGATGCGCCACCCTCTGACCCACCCGAAAAAATCGACTCCTTGTGTGCCATTGTGAGAATACACCTTCGAAAACTTCAGTGTGCCTTCAAAACACATATTTCCCTTCAAATGAGTGAAAGAGGAGCTCGGCTATCACTGATCGATTTGGTCCGAGTGTGCGCCGTGCATTACGCTCCTATGCAGAGGTGGTGGAAAGGTGTAAATTCTGATTTCAGGTGCTTTCACCTATGCAAGCAGATGTTTATTTAGTGTTTAGAAAGGACAATACGCACGAATCTGTTTGAGACGCATTATTTAGTCATCTACGTACTTTGGAGTTTATGCTATTAAGTGACTTTATTTATTTATTTATTCTTAATATTCTTGCTATATTGCTAATAAATTTTTTATTATTTTGTAGTCCTATTTACATCCGGGTCTTCTGCAGCTTTCCGTTCCTTCCATCAAACTTACTAGGGAACCCCAACAGGTCGATCCGGCCGTTTACAATGATATGTATACGTATGGATGTGTCTTGAGCCGCTGAATCCGAATCTGATCGAATCCCTCCGATTTTGCGGAACGATCCTCTGAGGGAGTTACGGACCATTTAATCTTTGCTGTGTTTGCACAAGCTGACCAGGAAAGGCCAACACGTCAGCCCGGCCATTTGCAACGAAATGTACATCATTGTACTCACCTTGCCACGATGAACACAAGACTATCTTTAAAATTTGCGGAACGATTCTCTGAGCGGAGTTGTGAGGTTTTTCTTTATTGCTTTTCTTCTTCCGGGCGCGCCAGCGCCAAAGCGTTAGCACCTGTAGCGCAACTCACAGCGCTCTTCGCGCAAAACAGGTATCATATTCGTGTTCAGGGGTCAAATAACCCCTAGAGACGTCACCCCAGCGGAATCCGAGGTTCTAACTCATTTTCGAGAAAATGGGTTATGAATAGCTGTGGCTGACTGATAGCCAAAGCGATACTACGACTACCATACTGATGATGACTGGTTTTCCAACTGAAATACCTCTTCATGTGCCTTTTCGCAAAGACATTACCCGGCTTACTTATTCTTGCCGTTTGCATCATCGTCCTCTTTACCACGAGGTAGTTCCATCTCGAGACCATTCACCAACGGTAGGTGAAACTCCCCTTTGCTTTCGGAATTACCATGAAACAGCAACAGCATCTTCAAAGTTTAGGTGGCAATATCCAATTCGCTAGAAATTTGTCCTCCAGGGGTAGTTGACAGCCGCTGACATGAATATGATGGTATTTCATTGCAAAAACCCTTGTGACATGTGGTTATCCTCATAATAAAAAAGTTTTCAAGAGGAACCCTACATGGGGAATCGCCCGCCTTTCGTTGGCAACTAATCAAGAAATTAGGCGAAATGGCATCGGCGGCTTGCCGTATGCACTTATCCTTCTCAACTTGAGCAAACGGAGATAAGATTAAATGGTCCGTAACTCAGAATCGTTCCGCAAAAGAGGGCAGATTCGAATTCGCGCTTCAAACACGTCCCATATTTACACATCTCACTGCAAATGGCCGGATCGACCTGTTGGGGTTCCCTTGTTTAGCAATGACACTTTTGTACTGTTTGATGCCTAGCGAGCCTACTTTTGGGATACTGGATACTCCCCATGTCCCCCGCGGCCAAGTACGAACCCATTTTGGGTATTTTGCATGAAAAGAGGGCTGTTAAACGTAGAAGTTCAATCTGTAAAGAATACTCTCATAATAATTTTCATTTTTTTTTCAACATCCGACTCCCATAGCTCCACTCCCACTATCAACTGAAATGTCGAAGCATTGCCCGGCTCTGAGTGACCCTTGAGATTACGATCCCCCCTCCCCAGCGGCCAAGTACGACCCCCCCCCCATGGGTTTCGCACAACGATGCTGTACCCTGACTGAACCCCGCACTCCAGATTTTGATAACGTGCTAAGGCACGCGCGCCACGATTACCAGAAAAGTCGCTCTCCGCCCTGCTGGCGAGTGGCTAAGTCCAATGGTGAAAATGGTTGCACCACCTATGCTGCCGGAACACCTATACCGTGACGAACACTATCCGCCGTTTCAACCTCCCTGGGCCACTAACCGTCATAATCAAACTTAGAAATCAGAGAGGAATCTAGGTCGACTGCAGCACCCAGTTTGTGGCACATCCGCGGCCCGACACAACCTTCTTTCGCTCAGTTCCGAATTAAAAAATTCGCAGTCTTTACGATTACCAGTGCGCACTTTTTCTGAGCGTCCGCCACAGCTCTTTCTGCTTTTAGTTCACTGCTGAATTTCTTAGCATTTCGGAGTCCCTAATTCAGTCTCCACTCCTGATCTACGGCTTCTGATCATAAGCTCTGCTTCTAATCGCAGTCCTGACAAGGCTGCATTGGGTTCGCACTGAAAATATCAGAAAGCAGAATTCTCTTCAGTTTGAGACCGAATTCGCGCAGGCAGCTCATCAGCATAGGAATTATGTAAAAGAGAACATAAGGATCAGAGCAGGGATTGAAGGGCCCATGGCGAGCTCCAAATAATAATATCGTTGTACTGACCAATTTTCATGCTTGCCTCGGAAAATATCACATGTTGACTTTTCATTATTTTCCCACAGTTTGACTTTTTTGTTCAACTTCTAGCTCAGTTGTTGGAAACAGTTCTTGCCGATAGGGACGAACTGTTGAAAACTTCGTAGGTAGGCAGACAAAAGCATAAGTGTTTCAGGATTTTTTTGCCAGCGTAGTGATTGGGCTAGTTCGTGAAAGATGAATCGTCAGTACTCCAGGCACTCCTCATCGTAGGTGGTAATCGTGACATTCAGGATTAACCGGATTAGTTACTATAAACTCCCCCTTGTTTGACCAATGGAACGCGTGTTCCTTTTGTTCTCTGTGTAGTCCTTGGACTCAAACTTCCAATCAGCACTACGATGAACTTCACTGTGATTGATGGAAAAACTGTGAGTTACCTTGGGAGCTATCATCCTACTGCTGTTAGATTGAAGGTCAATGATCCTGCTTCAGGTGATCTCAAAGGGCTACACAAACGAAGCAACTACTCTTTGGGCTTCTCGAGGCGGGCAGCGGTGAAATTGTCTTGCACTTTCCTGACTCTTCTTAGCTCTCAAACAGTCATTTTTACAGACCGCTCGCACGCCCCAAGTGTGGATACACGGGTGGCGATTGTCCAAAACCGTTCTGGGAGGACTACGGTACATACGTCATAGTTGCAGCATCGCTAGTTGGAGTACTGTTGGTTGCTGCCGCAATTTTCTTTGCGTACCTCATGAGGTAATAATATGCTACCTGTAGTTGTAGCCAAATCAATCAGCTACTTAACTATCGTGGGTGCCTATCCTCACGATTAAAGCAGAGGCTCGAAGGTTTCGTTGAGTACGTACTGGAAAAGTGAACTCCGTAGAAAACGCACAAAATCTCTTTGCTAAAATTCCAGCAAATTCATAGATTCTGTAGTGTGCGCTGTAACAACTTCCCATCCCTTCTCAAGGGTGGAGATTCATACAAAATACAGTCGTTAAAAAATTAGGACTAGTGTTCTAGATGAGCCCTGACAAATTTCGGGGGCATAGTTGAACTCAATGATAGTGAAAAAGGTCTGATTCTTTCATTCTTCGCTTCATCGTTTTCAATGCGTAATAGTGGTTCAGTATTCGCAAAGCTCCTTTGCGAGGTCTTCCGCTTTTCAGGATTCGAAGGGACGAGCAAGAGCGGCAGCGCTTGTTATGGCAGATTCCTTACATGAGTCTCAGAAGGCCGCAGAAATCGGTACGGAGTTTGACACGATTTGTTGCTTGAAATGATTATTCATTTAGCTCTCTGAGATTGCTCGAATACTGAGGTTTTCTTTCACCGCATGGCTTGCAACTTTTAAAGAGCTGCAGTCACACATTTCTGGCCAAAACTTGACTCAGCTTCACTAAACATAAATGTTCAGCCCAAAATAGCGGAATTGAAAAGAGAGTTAGAATCGAATCACCTACTTTATACAATACGCTAAGTATGTCTGTGTGTGCGTCCGTCTGTTGTCACGAAATTCATAGCGCCGGTCCCAGTAGCAGTGAGACATTGGTTCCAAGAAGTGATGTAGGGGGTGTGACGGGAACACTATTGGTGGGTGACAGGAAGTGATATCAGTTGGACGGAGCACACATAATTTAAGCTAAGCCCCGCCCACTGTGGGCGGGGCGTGCGCACAGTTGTGAGCTACATATTTCAAAAATTCGTAGTTCGGTTCCAAAAGAGCCCCGAGAGCGGAAAAAGTGGCAAACGATAGGCAATCAGTTGGCGGACGAAATCAATGAAGCACATCCGTGATGGCCGGGGCGTTCTGAACGGTGCCGAGGACAAAAACCCTCAAAACGCATCCGAAAACTCCAGGAAATGGGGAGCAAGGTGAAACTGAGCAATGGTTTGGCAGATGAAGTTAGTGAGGGATAACCACTGGCCCTCATGTAGAAACTGTGGAGCACTACCCACTTCACACGCGGAAGGAGGATCGCTCGGCGAAGCCGGGCGATCCGACTAACCCTCATGTAAAAACTGTGGGGCTACGAGTGGTCAGTTGATAAGATCCGATAAGAGGCGTTAGAAGGGGGAGGTCACCATATTCATAACGCGGGTGACAGCATCAGCTAGCTCTTGATTCCAAGATATGATATAGGGTATGGGCCAAGAACATCATAAGTGGTTCACGTACGTTTCAGCAAGTGATATAGAGGGTGAGATGGGGACATCAACCGTGGGTGACTGGAAGCGATAACTACTGATAGGGGCTGATAAGGGAAGTTGCAGTCGTCGTCGCTGTTCAAGATGGTTCACGCTACGAAATCGGAGCTTTAGCGAGAGGACATTGATGACGGGTGACAGGTAATCTTACCAATCGATAAAAAACAGATAAGATACCATCTGCGCTATTTTTATCACTTCTTACCGCTTTAATGCCGAGTATTAGAGGCTCAGTGTGTGAACTCTTTTCCTTTGATGGCAACAGAATCAGGGGTATCAAAGTATTCGCTTCTAGATGCATGCAATGTTGTCGAGCTGGGAGGGGGGGGGAGGGAGCAGTATACTGTGCGCCTGAAACAGGAAAATCGAAAAATTTACTAGTCAAAAGTTTTTCTGGAATTCTGCCCATTATATGATGTGCAATGATGTGTTAGGTGGTCTAGGTAGCACTTGAAGCAAAACAAGGAGAGAAGCCAACAATCTCAGGCAGGCAGTTCTTTTCCTCTTCTAAATCGTTGCTATGTCGCGTCTGATTTACCTATCTCCGCAAAAACCTCACAACCAGGCCATTCTGTTGCCAGGCGATCAAACAACTAATTTTCCTGGTGTCAATACTTGTTTCCTCAATACACGCAATCAGAGTATGCGCCAACTACCTTTCCACTGGATTTTCCGAACTGCCTTAATTTTCAGATCGAACTCCAACAGCAAAGCAAACGCTCACTTCAGTCTGGACCGTCGGTGATAACAGGAGACTCCAGACTCTCAGATTCCAATTTCGGTTTATACGAGATTATACTTTCTGGAGAATGACGCTGTTTTGGTCAGAAAATATCCAACCACGGTGTTAACGGATCAAGACAGAATCCAAATTCCCACAGGCTAGTAATTTGATGGATTTGTTGTAGTGGAAGTAGAATTTGTAAAACATAACTGACACCTAAATTTAACCCCATTCAGATGAGGAAATTGGACCATGAGAATATTAATAAATTCATTGGGCTTTCAATTGATGGTGCTCAATATGCAGTTGTTTGGCGGCTGTGTTCTAGGGGCACTCTACAGGCTTGTCGTTTTTAAATTAATGATCAGTACTTTCTACTAGTTACGTGGAATTCAGGATTTAATAGCAAAAGGCTCGTTGTTGTTTGATCCCTTCTTTATGCTGTGCATAATGAGGGATGTTGCTGAGGTATGACTGCGCTTTTTTGCTGTGAGCTTCACAGCTTTGATGAAATTAGAGGGTAAAAATACTTCTCAACTTACAGGGTCTTAAATATCTGCACAATTCATTCATCGGTGTTCATGGTAGTCTCAGTTCGCAGTGTTGTTTGGTAAATGACAGTTGGCAAGTTAAGCTAGCAGACTACGGTACCGGATCCTTGCGAGAGGATGATCGTGTAAAGAAAAAACGTAAACATTTTTTATGTGCTTTGTTGACTTATCAACCGGTTATCAGCGAATACACTTGAGCTATCTTGTCTGACCACCACAATCATTGATAGTCGCTGCAGTCCACAGCGCGTACACTACAGTTTGCTGAGCTGTAGGTGAAAGAAAGGTCCCAGACGACTTAAAATTTATCCTCCACCAGGGAAGACTCAAACCTTTTCCTTCCGTTCGCGTTCCCGATCTACTTTGATGTAAAGAACTTATCATGGTACTGAGTAACCAGCCGGGCTCGCCGTACACATTGAAGCAATGGTTGATCGTGCTTGATGAATTCCAAAAAGAAGAATCTTTAATGAATTTCCTCACGAATCTCGGCCAATTTCGCATCGAGGATAGGCGACATTGCATTGCGGTAGCAGCTTAGTTTTTTCATATTCAGGTCTATTATGGATGGCTCCCGAGCACCTCCGTTCCCTAGAGACCTCTTCTACTACGTCAAAGGAAGGCGACATATACTCTTTCGCCATTATCGCCTCAGAAGTTGTGACGCGAAAGGCAGCATGGAATCTGAATGAGCGAAAGGAACGTGTTGACGGTGAGAAAATGAGAACACAGATGAATTTCGATGCACGTCCAAAGATCGCTCCCTCATTTTATTTTTTAGAACTGGTCTATATGCTGAAGAAGGGAGGGCCCACACCACTGCGTCCCATTCTCGATATCGACGGAGAGATCAACGCAGCAGTAGTAGGAGTTTTGCTTTATTACCGCCAAAGTTGAACTACTTGTAAAGTGTATTATGTTGGAGCGGGCAGAGATAAGAAGATAACCGACTTAGACTGTTATTGCTTGATAACTGCTGTTCAACGCCGCAGTGCGCGATCCGAAAGTTATCACAAGAATGCTGAGTTGTGGGCAAAAGTCGGACCACGGATTTCAACTCCGCATCTTCTGCTTACCGGGCAGTTGCGTTCCCTACACCACTTTTGACCTCTTAGCTCAATGGCTATTTCATTGCCCTCTAGCACTCACACGTGCTGTGCGAGTGCTCGAAGTGACCCCAGTGATAACTTTCGGATCGCGCACTGCGGCGTTAAACAGCAGTTATCAAACAATAACAGCTTGAAACTTGTAAAAAGCCTTCAGCCTTGCGGTTCACTGCCGATATCGGCTAACCGGCTCATCACGTTGAACGTGTGAGTGCTCGAAGGCAATGGCACAAATAGCCATTGAGCTGAGAGGTCAAAAGTGGCCCCGGTAGCGTAATAGGGAACGCAACTGCCCGGTAAGCAGAAGATGCGGGTTCGAATCCCGTCCGGTCCGACTTTTGTCCGACTTTTGCCCACAACTCACCAGGAAAGTCAACACGTCGCCATCCGGAATGGGATGCATATTGGCGTGTGCGTCTCGGGACACTGAACTCAAATCTGCTTTCAGAATTTGCGGAACGATTCTCTAGGAGGAGTTAGGGGGGTCTCCAGCACAGTACCCACCTGATACCCTTCGTGCTGGCTCAAGTTAATTAACAACGGGTAGTGATAAGGGGTCGATGGGTAGGTAAGCTGATTCATGGGTGTGAGGTCAGGGGTTCGATTCCTTGGCAGGCTCACATTTTTGCTTTTTTCCAGAACATCTTCTG